TGGGGTAGCGACGATGACTCCGACGATGAAACGGCGCAGGTGCGGCGCGAGCTCCATGAGATGGAGATTGAGGAACCCAATCGCCCCCGCGGCTCTCTATGGGGGAAGCGAATAGGCTTCCTGTCTCTACCCCAGTGGAAGTGGTCTTGGAGGCCGAGGTTACCGCGGTTGCGAATCCAGCTTCCCTCGCGCCCGGACGCGCCAGCCGCAGGATCTGCTGACGATGCCGATGCCGACGCGGCCGCAGACGCAGACGCCGAACCAGCAACCCGATCAAGGCGGTGCTGGCCCAAGATCGACAGGACTACAGCCATCATCTTCGGCGTCCGCGCCTTCGCCGTTATGATTGTTGTTGGCTTCGTTTACCTCCTCTTTGCTAGTGACCTCTTCAGCAGCTTATCAGACCGCATAGGAGGTGGCTACCGCTTCAACCCCGAGGATTTGCGTGTGCACGTGCAGCAGAGCGTTGATCCTAGGCGGTTGCGCGCTTCTGTCCAGCATTTCTCAAGTTACGCTCACATTGCCGGTACCGAGGGCGACTACGCGACAGCTATGGACGTCGAGAGCATGTTCAGCCGAGCCGGCCTTGACGAGGTGATGCTCGACGAGTACAAGGTCTACCTCAACTACCCACGCAAGAACGGTCGAACGGTACAGATCATGGATAGCAAGGACAAAGAAAAGGCCGTCTGGACCGCCAAACTGGAAGAAGAGGAGGTAGGAGGTGAGACAGCAGGTCGACAGACGTATGCCTTCCACGGTCATTCCAAGTCGGGCGATGTCAAAGGCCCCCTAATATACGCAAACTACGGATCACGAGAGGAATTCCAACATCTCAAGGATGAGGGCATCAAGACGGAAGGGGCTATCGCACTGGTACGATACCACGGCACCCAGGGCGACCGCGCCCTCAAGGTCAAAGCTGCTGAGCTCGCTGGCTTCGCTGGATGCATCATATACAGTGATCCTGCTGATGACGGCTTCCTCAAGGGAGCAGTCGCGCCGCATGGGCCCTGGATGCCCGCCGACGGTGTTCAAAGAGGTGCCGTCAGCCTCATGAGTTGGGTCGTTGGCGATGTTCTTACCCCTGGCTGGGAAAGCAAAGAGGGGCAGCCACGGATGAAGCCGGCCGACAGCCCTGGTCTCGTCGGTATTCCGAGTCTTCCTCTTGCTTGGAGAGATGCTCAAATCTTGCTACAACATCTCAAGGGGCACGGTCAGAAGGTGCCCAAAGCATGGACGGGTGGAGTTCCTGATGTTGATGAGTGGTGGACGGGCGACAACTCATCGCCCACTGTCCGTCTCAAGAACGAGCAGGACGAGGTTGATCAGCAGCCCATCTGGAACGTGTATGGCAAGATTGTCGGCATGGAGCAGAAGTCCAAATCTATCATCATTGGTAACCACCGCGACGCTTGGGCATTTGGTGCCACGGATCCTCACTCGGGCACCGCCGTCCTGATTGAGATGGCTCGTATCTTTGGCGACCTGGTCCAGCGAGGTTGGAGGCCCCTGAGAACTATCGAATTCATGTCATGGGATGCCGAAGAGTACAATCTCATTGGCTCAACCGAGTATGTCGAGAACAACCTCGACTCGCTGCGCGAAAACGCATACGCGTACATTAATCTCGACACAGCTGTGTCCGGCAACAGCTTGCATGCCTCGGGATCTCCAATGTTCAGAAAGACGCTCATCCACGCCCTCGGTCGAGTTATGGATCCCGTTAGCAACGTGACTCTGCGAGACCTCTGGAACGGCAGGAAAGCTGAGCTGGATGGACTTGGCGCCGGCAGTGATTACGTGGCTTTCCAGGACATCGCAGGCACTAGCTCGCTGGACTTGGCGTTTGAGGGAGGCGGTTACCCGTATCACTCGAGCTATGATAAGTTCGAATTGATGGAAGAGTACATCGATCCTGGGTTCGTGTATCACGATCTCATGGCTCAGGTGGTTGGGTTGCTCATCCTCGATCTGGCGGACCGGTCCATTGTTCCTTTTGACATGTCGGCCTATGGCGATCGTCTCGAGAAGTGGGTAAACGATCTTGAGAACTGGGCCACGAGCAAGACCAGCAAGCGGAACGGTAAATCGGGTAAATCAAGCAAAACGGCCCTATCTTTCAAGGAGCTGAAAGCAGCCGTGGCACAAGTCCAGCACAACGCGGAAGAATTTGAGAAGTGGGAGATGACCTGGGACCGCGCGGTCCTCACCAACGGAGGTTGGGAAGACAATGATGTAGGAGAAACCCGAATCGAGTATAACAACAAAATGGCCTACTTTGAGACGTCCTTACTCGACCTGGAACTCGGCGGCGGTGTAAGTTCACCTCAATATCTATGCAAGAAATACTGACTAACGCAATCCAGGTCCCCAATCGAACGCAGTTCAAACATGTCGTCTTCGGGCCACAACTCTGGTCCGGCTATGATGAAGCCTTCTTTCCTGCCATCCGCGACACGGTGGAGGCGGGCGATTTGAGCGCGGCACAGAGGATCATAAACAAAACAGCTGCAATTATCCGCAAAGCAGCGACAGTCCTAGAGATGTGATGCGAGTGTATGATTTTCTAGCGAGACCAGTGCGATAGTGGATCTTGTTGCTCCCTGACTTCTTCGACACAATCTTCCAAGACGGCATCTTTCTTTTTTCTTTTTCCCTTTACATCTTCTTCCCACCTTGTATGTGGATCGGGTTTACGTGGCTACACGCGTGTATAGGAGGCATTGCACGGAGTTTGGTTTGCTGGTCAGCTGGTTGGCTGTATTTTGTTGGGTATCCAGCGTCACGTCTAAGGAACAGCCGTCCCCTTTTGGTCAGGGCCATGGGAGGGTTGCTTGCTTTCTTATTGTCCATAAGTAATGATAGAAAGACGAAGGGGACGCAAGATGACTTCATTGTCGAATTTTGTAATACGATTGAGTCCGACGTGATTGGTCTGAGGGCATGGTGCAAGCTTCCGAAATGTGATGTCGTTCACATCAGGCATACGAATTCGTGAGAGTCGAGACGATTCATAAGAAAAACATGATGAAGTCAATTGTGAAGCTTGTCATTTCATAAGTTACTCTCCCTAGAGTCTTGTCCGGATGCTTAGGCCACTTCCTTGCCGTTGTTCGTGTCACCAGTCAATCAAGGCTTGTGGTTTGCCTCATAATCATCTACGGACACCAGACGTCCCACAACCTCGTACTTCTCGAGGAACCTCTCCTCCCAGCCCTGCAGGGCCTCCAACTGGTCCTTGTCCAGCCCCTCCAGCTTGTCAAGAGGACCCTTGAGGTCGGCCGTCAGCATGTCCTCGTCAAAGCTGCCGCATGCGAGGCCGCGGCTGGCATCGCGACCGGCGAAGTTGGCGTAGGGGCCGCCGGGTCCGTAGAAGTTGCGACCGCGCGAGACGTCGAAGACGCGACCCCGGACGGCGAGGTAGACGGGGGAATCGTCGGCGCCGGAGAAGGGCAGCAGCGAGAGCGGCGTGTAAGTGCGGAAGACGGTGGCGGGGGCGTCGCGGGGCAGCGTCGGAGGCGGGGACGAGCGGACGAGGGCATAGCAGGTGTAGAGGACGGCCGAGAGGAGGATGAGGTTGAGGGGTGAAACGAGGGAGGACCTGGGTGCGCTGTTAGCAGGTTGGTAGCGACGGACTGTGACGAGGTCGACGTCGATGATGCCGGCCGAGGTAGGAGGAAGTAGCAACGTACGTATCAAAGCCCTTTGAGGCCTGTTCGGACATCTGACGCTCGACGTAGTCCATTGCTGACGGGTGCGGTGCGTCTCAGATGCGAGAGGGTGATTGAGAGTATGGTAGGAGAGTAAGATAGCGGAGGAGAGAAGAGCGAAGGACGGAGGACGGAGGAAGTCGAGAGAAGACGGTCGAAGCTCGGAGTCGTGGGTTGCGTGCGAGCTGCAAGGCGCACAAGGCGGCGCAAGAGGGGCCAGATAATCCTACGAGGGCAGATTCTTGGGTAGATGGGGCGCAAAATCAAGGCTCCGTCGAAGTGGCTGTGGAGAATGAGAATGGGCGAGGCGTGCAACCGAGGACTGCAACGTGGAAACGTCTAAGGTAAGAAGAGAGGACGACAATCTGGCAAGTCTCCGATGCGGCCGAGGTGGATATTGGGGTTCAAAGACGTCGGGTTACCAATGTCGGGTCACCCGCCTCCGCCTCCACATTTCGCGACAACCACGGAATGTCTCCCACCATTATTGCCGATTATTACTTGGTTCAACTACCAACCATACAAGCATCTACCGAGTGTCTGGCTAATGCGAGTACTAATCAGTTAGGGAAGTGCTCCCGCCTGCCTCGGTCGGAAGTGCGAGATGGAGCGGCCCACGCCGGAATTCGGCCAAGCACCGGCATTTGTCGACCTCGGCGGTCATTCCGCCATTGAAGCCATCCATCACCTCTCGTCACTTAATAGGCGCATTGACGGGATTAAGTCGCTGTGCCTAACACAATCGCAGTCTCGAAGCCGCCATTTGTGAAACCCTAGAATTTTGAAAAGAACAAAAAACGCAAGGGAAAAAAGGATCCCCGTTCGATCTCGGGACTTGTCCCTTCGTATTCGTGTGCTATGCCGGGGTTTGCGGTGCGTGCCCAATCACTCACGTTCGAATCGCAAACATCAGTCCATGTTCGCAGCTCGGGATCCCAGCACAGAGTAATTAGATACCCATCTATTGATCCTTGACCCAGTCCCGGCCACCTTTGAAGTATCAATCACATTGGGCTGGATGGTATTGTCCAATTAGAAGTCAGCAATGCACGTCGCAAATAGCAAAGTAGCGGATGGCAGGTTATCTATCCGTCGGGAAGTTGGCGATGGTGGCAGTCCAGTCAAACAAACACCGAAGAGTACGACGGTGTCAGCCCAACACATGGTGATGAATCGACGATAGGACAGACCATTAATGCACATATCAAGTTCACACGGGCTATATTATACGCCATAATCACAGCAAAAAAAATGTCCAAGACCAGCTGCTTTGCGAGCATCAAAAAGTGGAGATTGAGGGAATTGAACCCCCGACCTTTTGTAGGCCATCAGTCGCTGAGACAATGCAAAACAAACGTCATACCCCTAGACCAAATCCCCGGGTTGATGTTCATGTGGCTTGAAATGAGAACTATATCCCGCACCTTTGGATAATTATGGGGCGAAATGGTTAGCTTCGGACCTCATCCTGGTCTGAGTTGAGTTGAAGAACAGTGGATGTTGGTGTAGTAGGTGTTTGTGCAAAAACCATGACCGTTCACGGATCCCAATGCTCTAAATGACCTTAGAAAAGTATACATGCTAGTTCTTGTCGAGTTTCAAGTGAACGGCAGAATCATGGACGTACTGCGTACCTGGTACCTAGTGTTGGGTTACAGTCAACCCTTCACCCCACATCGATTGCCTCTCAGGCAGGCAACCATTCAGAGGAGTCACGCTGGCATAGCTGAAGACGAAAACGCCGGTGCTAACCCCGTCGAGAGGCAATCCAAACAGGCGAAAAAACGTCACAAGCAACAAATACCAACCAGGATTTCCAAACATCATGACCTGAGTCTGAAGAATGCTAGGTCGAAAGCGACTCTCCCTGCTAGCCTCCCGCACAGTGAGTCAACGGCGAGGACTCAGCCACCACAGCGCTAAGCCAGTCCCTCGAAGGAGCCACAAGGCTGACAAGGCAGCCAGGCGGCTGCCAGACTCGAGTAGGGAACGCCGGTATATAGAACCGTTGTTTCCCCCAACTGCCATCGCTGGAATTATAAACCCTGAACAACTAGAAATCTGGTACTCAGTTGCAAAAATGGCAGATTCATTGTCCCCCGGTCCGCTCTACTTCTGGCGAGAGACAGATAGCGAGACCGGATGGCTGTCGCAGTGGTACGACTGCCCCTTCAAGGATGACGAGGATCCCAAGAAGACGTACAAGACAGCAGAGCAGTAAGTTGAAGTCGAAGGGGCTGGTTTCGTATAGACTGAACCCCCATGCTCATCCTAACCTCCCCCTTTCAGCTACATGATGCATCATAAAGCCCTCCTCTTCAACGACCCCAAGGTCGCCCTCGAGATCCTCCGCGCCGACCACCCGCGCAAGGTCAAGGCGCTGGGTCGCAAGGTCAAGGGCTTCGACAACGAGGTCTGGGACGCGCACCGACGGGACATTGTGCGCCGCGGCAACGTCCTCAAGTTCACCCGCGCCGTGTCCGAGGAGGGCTACCACAGGGGCACCGCGCCCAAGGGCAAGGGCGGCACCAAGCGCAAGCTGCTACCCCTCGAGGGCTCACTGAGGGACATGCTGCTGGCCACGGGCGACAGGGACATTGTCGAGGCGAGCCCGTACGACTCCATCTGGGGCATCGGCTTCACGGCTGCCAATGCCGAGGTCGCCAGGGAGTCCTGGGGGCTGAACCTGCTGGGGTTGGAGCTGATGGAGGTGAGGAAGATGTTGAGAGCTCAGGATCAAAAAGAGAAAGATGATGGCAAGTTTGTCGAGGGTGGTGAGCCAGCGACAAAGAAGAAAAAGAGGGATGAGGAGAATGCGGAGTACAGGGGAGAGAAGCAGGACGAGTGAAGCAGGATCCCCGAGTGTCTTTTCTGTCAAAGGACTGGAGTCAAAACTAGAATGAACTAAGAAGAATACAAAGTCTTTATCTCTCGATCTCGAAAGCTATCTCGTCGCCTGCTATTGTCAGTCCACTCAGTTCCACGTGAAGCCTCTCTTCAAACCAAATCTCACGTTTAGGGGTGATTGCGATTCGCATACTCTCGCAACAAATGGGATAGATCATCATTTGGCATTAATGTCGTGTGAGGTCAGACTCGGGAATTCCCTATCTGAGTGTCTATGCCTTCCGCCCCCAGCCATGCATGATTCCTCCGCCATGTGTCATCACGTCGCATCCCCCATCCCCAAACATGAAGTAAATCGTACATACAAAACCTCGGTTTCCCCTTCGAGGCAAGCAGAGCGGCGTGTTGTTTTCCTTTTGGTGATATGATATGCAGCCCCCAAACACCATCATCCCCCCCAGTCAGCTATTTTTTTCGTCATGTCGAGAGTCCTGGTATCTTCCACATGATTGTTCGTACTATACAGATATTAACACATGTAGCCCAGACCATGCCGCAGGTCGACCACGTTTCGTCTTTTTCTATCCAACAAAACACCCCCGATATGACGCCGAATGTGAGCGGCCTTGGTTTAGTACCAGTCTCGGCCGCTCTTCTGCATCTCAATCAAGCGCCATCCCCGCGTCTCGGGATTGTTGACGTCCTCTGGCAGTCGAGTGATGCCGATGGCGTATGTCACCAGCTGCACCTTGTCCTCCATGCCGGCCGCAAGCTGGTTGGACTTGGCGTTGCGGTAAACGTGCACCTCCTGGGTGCGGCAGGTAATGATGAAGACGGGTACCTCACCGGGATCCAACATACGGGCCCGGAGGATGTCGACGTTTCGAATATCCAAGATACGTCCATCCGATTTCATACCGGCCTGGAGGTACTGCTTGGTCAAGGCTTCGTAGACTGAGTACTGGGCCGCCGACAACCACAGCTTCAGCGTCTCCGTGTCGCCCTTCACGTAGGCATCCAGAACTTCGGGAAGGATGTACTCTCGGAGCTCCTGGAGGAAGGGCTCAACTTGGAATGCGGGGTCCATGGATCGGAATTTCTTGATGACCATGGCAGTCTCATTCTCGGCGAAGAATCCGCCGATTCGGTCCGTGATACTTCGGGCAGTCGACACGAGAGGGTTTTCCGACTCTTCGTACTTGCCTTTCATGCTGAAAATACCCTGAACGAAAGAGCTCGTGTCACGGAAATCTCTCCACGCCTCCTTCCAGGCGGCGTCCTTGTGGAGCGTTACATTGGTGCCGGCCCTGTCGCGCATTAGCAGGATAATCTCGACCGTCGAAAAAATATCAAAACTTACTCGGGATCCTCCTGCATGACTTCGCCGCCCACGGTACCCCGCTGCTTGTCGACAGCCTCTCGTCGCTTACGTCGCTCCTCCTTCTCAACCCAACCACCGTATCGTGACGAGCTGCCATCATCAATGACGTCCTTCACATTCTTGTAGGCTTCAGTCTGGCGGATGGGCTGGGTAGCCTTGTCCACGGCGTCGCCGGTGACATTGGCAGCCTTGCGCACGCCCTTGACGACGGACGTATCCCAAGTCCAAGCGGCACCTTTTCCAATGGCTCCGGCGGTGGTTTTAACGGCTCCTCCAACTGTGCCGGAAATGGCACCCGTCGACTTCTCGTAGGCTTCGCGAGCACGTCGCACCGACTCGCTCTCGGAAAACTGGTGGGCAGCAGCGCCAATCTGCTTGGTCGACTCGTTCCACTCTGAAGACTTCTGGAACTCAGTGTTCATGGTCTCCATGAACACCTGCCAGGGAGTCTTGTCACCATGAGGAGGGGGAGGGGGGAGGTCTTCCTTTTTCTTCTCCTGCTTGCCCTCGTCCTCGCCTTCCTTGCCTTCCTTGCCGTCCTTCTCATCTTTACCCTCCTTTTCACCGTCCTCGGCCTCGTTGCTCTTCTTGGGCTCAGCCTCCTGTGGCTTGGCTTCAGATTCACTGTCGGCGACCTTCTTGTCCTTGGGCTCAGAGGGGGTCTTCTCCGACTTGGGCTTCTCCTCTTGGGCGAGCTGGCTAGAGGCGTGGAAGAGGCGAGATTGAACGGCGGGGGTGAAGTGGATGTCGGATGGGAGGAAGGAGGACCTCAACGGCGACCGGATTGCACCAGTGAGCGTTGATCCTTGTGGTCGGGCGACATCGCGGCCGGCATTCTGGGAGAGTTGAGAGGCTAATCGGCGGTACGCTGGGGTTCTGCCGGATGAGTTCAGGTGGACGGAAACCCGGGACAGGGCGTTTTCGGACTGCGCTGCCTTTCTCGCGAGGGAATTCATGGTTGCAACGGTAAGGAAAGCCCTCCACAGAACACGATTGATCGTGGATCAAAGGCGAGGGGGAAAAGAGAAGTGGAAGCTCGTGGAATGCGCGAGGAAATTTTGGTTCTGCGATCTCGGTTGCGGGCGGAAAGGAAGGCGGCGAACCGGCAAAGCCTCGGCAGAAGGGGCTGCATCGGAGCTTCCAGGCCGAGTGTGCAAAAATCGTAGCACTCGATCCCTTCATGTCTGCAATTCTTTGAAGGCGATGCGTACAAGATGAGCCGCCCATTGACGAATCGCCTCGCGGCGCAATCGCTCTTCCGAACCACCCGAACAACTTCGAATGCGCTGAGATGCCCATTCCAAGCAGCTCGGCCGCTATCGCACACCAACGCCCGATGCGCGGATGATGTTCCTCCCCGCCCTCCTCGAGCTCCCCGGACAAGAGCCGCCCGACCTAGCACGGCCTCCCTCCTCGAGAACATATACGGCGCTGCGCAACCAGCCTCTACGGCTCAATCGGCCCAACCCAATGCCATGGCGAGCCTGTCCCAGAGCCTCGTCTTCAAGACTCTCGGCAAGTCCAACTCCGACTCGGGTCTTGAAGTTGGCGGTGCCCGGACCGTACAGGCCAAGGAGGACGACCTGGAGCCATTCCACTTCCACATCTACTCCCACAAGCACAACACCCACATCACATGCACGAAACCCAACCGCGACCCCATCATCTCCCTCTCTTGTGGCAACATCGGATTCCGCAAGTCCCGTCGTGGTACCTTCGACTCGGCCTACTCCCTGACAAAGTACATCCTGGAGCGGCTGATTCACAACGGATGGCCCATGAAGATTTCGCGGCTAGAAGTGGTGATGCGAGGCTTTGGTCAGGGACGAGAAGCCGCGCTCAAGGTGCTGATGAGCCCCGAGGGCAAAGTGCTGCGTGAAAAAATTGTCCGCGTGGCCGATTCGACGAGAATCAAGTTCGCCGGAACCAGAAGCGAAAAACCAAGACGGCTGTAATCTCGGTCGGGATTGCGGGGGTCGCGGTGGGTTGCGAAAATTGAATGTACTATATATGCTGTACGAATGTACCATACAAATGAAAGCAGACCACAAATCCGTTTGCGTAGAATTGTTTGAGAAAGAATGACTCGCTTCTGAATCAGAACCCTTGGTATCGTGCTGGCCCATTCCAAAGGCAGCGACCGGCTCCAAAC